AGTCTGTCGGTCGTGCGGATGGAGAAGAAGATGCATATCCATACCCCACACTCATAATCAAATCGAATTTGAGCCAAAGCAGAAGACTTTATTAGATGTCCAAAACATTGAACACATAGGAGGTTTTTGTCTAATTTTGATTGATAAAGTGCATTATAGAGACTAAGAAACAAATTCAGTGTTACCACTAAGAACAAGACTTTCTTATAAATTGAAACAAGCTGATATTAATATTGTCTAGACAAAAAAAAGTTGGCTTTCGAACAAAGTTAAGAAATATTTACGATGAATAACCATTTTCGATTCTTTGATTACATGATCTCATATATTCGTTGTAAGAATTATTTCGCTTAAATAAGAATGAAGCCAGAATCATGAGTAGAATAGGTGTAATATGAATTTTAATACTTTTCAAGTACCCATTGTTGTCATATTTAGGATATTACTATTCTTATAAACGTGCCTTCATCACATGGAGGTGTGAAAGTAATTGAACATATGGCTACTAAAATATTTGATCTAAATCCAAACCTTTTTTAATATGTTATAGACGATCAAAGGACGGGAGACGTTTTAGGGACATTTCGGTCCAATTAGAAAGTAAAGGCAGATTAACGTGAAACTTTCAGCAAATGTTCAAATAAATGATAGTAGTCATTCCTGAAAACTTCAGCTTGATCGGTTACACTTTTCCTTTACTTCATCAATGAAGTATATACTCCCAAAATATATAGGCAAACGTACCTTAGAGCGAATATTGTACACCCTGTTCTCGGCTATTTGACTCAGACTCGGAGCCATTTTTCTAGGATCATTAGTAGTCACTAGGTACTATATAATTGCAAAGACAAGGGGCTAAAAAGAAACTGCCTGCGTACCAAACTGAAGTATGTAGTTCTTTCAATATGCACAAAATACCTCAGAGTGAATCTTGTGGGTCTGCTTTATCAAGCATTGAAGTCAAGCTGGATATATTTTCCCCCGTGAATAGCAACCGTCAGCACCTAACAAATGGCAAAATGAGAATCTATAAAAAAATGGTCTAGTTGTTTATCGTGTAGGAGGCGGTGCGCCAAATTGTAATGAAAAAGTACTAGTTTATGGTAATGGGCGACTATGATCCATACGGCTTTCTGTAAAGTGTCATGAATGCAATCTGTTAAGGTTGAATATCTAAGGCAATGCAATTATGTCAACATAGTTTCATGAGTAATAGTTTTCGTGACTGATTACTATAGATGTGAAATGACTCGTGGTAAAAGACATGTGCATCAATTGGTGATCGCTTAATTGAAGAAGTGGTTTGTTCCCTGTTGACTCGAAGAACCAGCATGCTAATACGACACAGAACAGTCCACATTTTCATGTAGTACATTTGTACATGTACAATGGTTAACAAATATTATGAAACAGCTTCAGAATCTGGTTGCGAATTTCACATTGGGATAGTGTATGGCACTTTTTTCAAACTTTTGTTTTGATGATTGAAAAAAACTAGTGTTGATCTTAGCCCAAATAGATGCTCGCGTGATATTGACAAATAGAAAATCAAATGTATGAACTTCGCTCTTTTGTACAGACAGATAAAAGAAAGAAAAAGTAATTATGTTTTACTTATCTACCAAAGAAACATTTCTGCGGAAAGCAACCGTCTACTGAGTTTGTTATGCTGCTTCTATTTAGCTGAGGGATTGGCATCGGTTTCACAGCAACGCAGTGAGTGTTTTTGTCTCGGCACGAAAAAGCATGATTTTGCCAAACTTCGAATCAATGTGTAATGCTGGCCCAGGTCCATCATTCAGACCGTCTGAAACGATGTCTTAAAATGCCTAAAACGGTGAAAAAACGGACTAATTATTGGCCTAAACGATGAGAAACGGTCGCCGTTTTTCATCGTGTTTTGTCCGTTTTCCGTCAGCTCGGATTGAGGGCCGTTGTTTCCTGTAACGTAAACGGCACCGTTTGATGCTACATCCCACGTGAAACGGCTATTAATATCAGGGAAGGAATTTGCTCATTTAGATTCTTATTTACACTGTGTTTTCACCCCTTCTCATCTTCCGTAAAGACAATGTTATGTTATAATAAATACTCACTATTCAATATTTCATTTAGTTAAATCTAGAAAAAATAATTGTTAGAATTAAATACTCACTGTTATACGCATTTCGATTAAAATAAGTCTAAAATAAAACATAACAGTATTTACTTAAAGAGAATACTTACTGTTGAACGTTTGATTGAGATAAACCTAATTAAAACAATAAATATTTTTATTTAAATATAAGACTTACTTTTCGGTATTTCATTGAGTCAAATCTAAATAAAAAAAAATAAATATATTAGTTAGGATAAAATACTTACTGTTAAGTATTTCAATTGAAATAAATCTGAAATAAAAAAATAAAATATTTATTTAAATTAAATACTCAATATTGAATGTTTCATTGAGATAAATCTAAATAAAAAAAATAAATACTTTTTATTTAACCTGAATACTTAGTGTTAAATGCTTCATTGAAATGTATCCATATAAAAATAAATAAATGATTTTTTTGGGAATAAAATACTTACTGTTATAAGTATTTCGGTTGAAGTTACTCTAAAATAAAAAAAATAAATATTTTTATTTAAAGAAAATACTTACAGATGCATGTTTCATCGAGATAAATGTAAATCAAAAAATTTATTTATTTATTTCAATAATAGTATGGAACGAGACGATGGAAGGAATGTAAATAAAAAGAAATAGTATTCGTTTTTTTAATAGACAGTGTCTATTCGATCATCAATCATTAGTGAGTGTCTTAGGATGACTTTAGAGTGTTTCTGTTGACACGATGAAAAAAAGTGGAAAACGGCGAAAAAACGGTGATCGTAACGGCAGCTGTTTTCGCTGGTACATAAACGACCATCATAACGGATATCGTTTTTCGCCATATTTATTCGTTTTACGGCATGACGCAAACGATTGTCGTAACGGCAGTCGTTTTTCTCCATTTTTGGGTCGTTTGAGGTCGTTTACGGACCATTCTATATGACATGGATTAATATATATACAGGGGGGTCCAAAAGTCATGCGCCCAAAAAACTATTTTAATATCTCCATTACCACTGGAACAAACCAGCTGACTCTTTTATCAAGGATAGAGCCATGTTCAAGCTTTATATCCATAAAGACAAACCTAGAGAGACTCTTTGTTAAATATCAATATTGACCTCAACAAAAAAAATTTACTCTTTCACAGATAGGAAAAAAAACAATGGACATATATCATTTTACTGAAAAAAGTTGAGTATCATCGTCATCTATTAATCGAATGGGCTGTTTTTTTTACCATGGTAAAGACGTGTTCAAAATTCATATTTATAAAAGAAATATTGCAAAATGCTGTTGAGAAGTAGCACTATAAATTGCAATAGAAAAAAGATCATCTTTTTACGGGTTTGAAAATTGACACCAGGTGAGCAAAAGCCATTTTTACCGTAATAATCATAATTTCATGCGCAGTTCTTTTGTTTTATATCAAAAGTAAGCCTTAATTCTTTATTAATGTTCGAGTTAGAGATGCTAGCATACCAGAATTTATCACAGTAAAAGTGAGTTTTGCTCACCTTGTGTCAATGTTCAAACCCGTAAGAAGATGAATCTTTTTCTATTATAATTAATAGTGTTACCTCCCAACAGTATTTTACAATATTTCTCTTATAAATATGAATTTTGAACACGTCTTTATCATGGTAAAAAAACAGCCTATTCGATTAAAAAATGACAATGAAACTTAATTTTTTCAGTAAAATGATATATGTTCATTGTGTTTTTCCTATCGGTGAAAAAGTAAATTTTTTGTTGCTGAAGTCAATAGTGATACTTAAGAAAGAATCTCTCTAGGCTTGTCTTTATTCATATAAAGCTGGAGCATGCCTCTATCATTGATAAAAGAATTAGCTCGTTTACTCAAGCCGTAATGGAGATATTCAAATATTTTTCGGGTGCGAGACTTTTGGACCACACTGTATTAACTTGTTTTCAACTTCAAATCGATCCTAGGATCAAAATCATAAGTAAGTTTTACTAGATGAGAGATAAGATAGGTTTGAAAAAATAAACTTAACTGAATTTCTCTTTTCATTTTATATTGACGTCAAGATTACATCAAAAGTGAGATAAACTTGAAAATACAAACTAAACTGAAATCTGTTCTTCATTTTAGATTAACTCGAAGATCAGATGCATGGTAAAATGAATTTGGAAATATGAACTAATCTGAAATTCTTTCTTTTAGTTTAGATTGACTTCAAGATTGGATCTAAGGTAAGATGAATTTGAGATAATAAACGAAAATATATATTATATTTTACAAGTGTTCTTCCTCAGGAACTTTCATATGATTGGTCACAGAATGAAAAAAAAGTACATATATATGGGTGAAGAGCGCGCCCATTGTACCGTTTGCAAAAAAAAAATCGAAAAAAATAAATTTCACGATACGAGCAAACTAAGTGTAGCATTTGATAGAGTAATGTCGAATGTGTATGAAAATGATATTTTCCCTACACTTCCCTACGGTACGTTGGAGATTCACGATATAAATTAAGTTAACCCAGCGATAACGGGTTTTTGCTTCAAAATAATAATTTTCGAATAAAAGATTTGAAAAAATATTCACTAAACATACACAACTGCATGGATCTCGACAAGATCCACTATGTTAAGCATGATGAGACTATGATGGCATAGATGGATGCCCTGTCACCGCTCTCTTTCCACTTATGTTCATAATAATTCTTATTAATGTTTGTGTTTTTCAAAGATAAATTAGAGATTTTGTTTAATAATCTTTAAATATTTCTTTCAATAGCAATATAAAACACACTTACACTCCTATAAGATTAATTTATTTCTATACACACATGAAGCAAATTAAAGAAGATAAAACGTCTATAGTTTATCAGTATCTAGTTGCAATTTAAAACTTTTTCTGAAACAAGTTTCTGTTTTAAGATCTTAATGTCAATGGTGATTGTGATTGATTGGATGTTTTTTTACCAAAAATTAACCTATCTGCTTGAGCAATTATTTCATGAAGTTCTGCTGTTCCATTGACTGTTTTTAATGTACGTGGTATTTGCTGTTTCATGTCATCAACATCAGTTTGGTTATAAGTAAATAGTTTGATAGATGTAGAGTTTTCAATTTCATGAACAAAATCTAAAGCTTTTTCATATGATTTAGTTGGATTAAATGAAATGCATTCGTTCATTTTTTTCATCCGGGCGGAAAAAACATCCGCTACCCCTTTACCATGATCTGACTCTAGAAAAATTCATCGCATTGAAGTGTTATGTTTTCTTGCATATCGATTTAACATATAAATGGTTGTTTTATTACGGTAATGGGAGCACGGAGAATCTGATATGATATTAATTCTTTTTTTTTTGTTGATCATTGATCAAATAATCTAACAGATCTTTAATACTGCACCAAGCGGCTTCTGCCATATGACTTGTGCAGTCAGACATTGAACAAAAACTAAATGCATCAGGTTGTGACCAAACATATCCTGAATGCAAAGATATATGGTGTTCAAAATAATATGCACCTAAAACATGAAAACGTAAATAAAATATTTCACTGAATTGTTCGAAATTAGTTCAACCGCTGTAAGATACCTTTTTCTTCTTGAGCTTGTCGAATATTATAATTTTCAGCCCAGTCGATTTGAATTGTTACCGTATCAAGTGATTGTTGTGCATCGACTTTTGCTTCTTTAGCAGCTTTGAATTGTTGATGAACACGTTGCAAATGTTGTTTAAGGTTCTATTGAAATGAAAAAACAGAAATCTTCTAGCTAAATATACGAGCGAAATAAAAATTACTTCAATTTCCAACAAAAATCGTTCTATAAAATCTTCAATCGATGCTACCAATGGAACTTTCTTTGATACCGTAGAAGAACTTCCAGATATTTTCACTTTTTGCCATTCATTATAAGTTAAGCTAAATTTTTCACGTTTAAGTTCGTGTAAAGCATCTTTTAGTTGTTTATTTGATTGTTGATTATTTAATACTTCATTCAGATCAATTGGCATGGAATTTACTAATTGTTTGGTGATTGGTTTTGTTGATTTTAATTGGTTCAATTTATCGAATTTTATCTGTGGATTTATACAAATAATACATAAATATGTACCCCAATCATCAACTTTTGGCTTAACAACGAATGACGGTACATAGCGTAAGAATGTATGATAATCAACATTAGTTTTTGTTTCTACTTTGAATTGTTGATGCAGAACTGTCAAATGATTCAATCGATATCGTATTTGTTGATGATTTATTTTCTTCTTTTTATTTGGGCATAATTTTGATATATCATCTCTGCACTTGAAATTGATAATTTTTTCTTCAAGTTCAGAAGGTGTTGATGATGGAGGTGAGTATTGATTTGATAAATTAATACCAAACTTCTGTCGAACAGCTGATACTGTACCACGTGGAAGATTTTCCTCTTCATTGATTAACCGTAAAGTTGCTCGCTTTTTAGCTGCTGGACTTAAAGTCGATATGAAGACTTTTGTTGGAGATGGTGTTGGCGTTTCCGGTGACGAAGGTTTATTTATCATTGGCAATGATGAAGTAAGTTGTTTCACTTCTTGTTCTAAATCAAATATTCTTTTACGGAGTCTCATATTTTTATGTTTTAATTTATTGATATTTGCTCGATGACGACGATGGCCTTCTTTTTTTCTTAGATCTTTTTTCATTGATGATGGTGATGATGATCGTGCTGCTTGTTCGTTCAATATTTTTTGTTTTTTATTACGTCGATAAGTAGCCTGGATAATCGCTCTTGTTCTCTACATTCTTTATCAAAAGCTTTTGAAATTAAACGTTTGATTTTTATTTTCGATTTATATTTTTGATCATATGTCAAAGCACGGTTTTCTTTCATTGTGACTATTAATCTAAAACAAAGGGTCGTTAGAATCAGAGTAATTACCACATTTGACGTTTAAATTGGCATGCATATCGTGTCTTTTTATGAAATCTATAACACACTTTGGTCATGATGAATGATAATGATTGTCTAGTACATTTTTTAATTGAAAGTCTTGCCAAATTAGCACTAGATACGTGTTTTCATACGTGATAGAAGTACAACAATGATAATATTGTGAAACAGCTCTCGGCACATAGACGATTTGTATACTTTATTTACATTTGTCGATCAATCTTAGTACATAATTACTTCAAAAAATCTCGCTCTACACTTTCTTATTAAAACCGAATTTTCTTTTGAAAGGAGGAAGATTTTTGCTTGATTTTTCGAGATATTATTGTACTCTATGAGATGAAAAAATGATTAAATTTTTGTCGCAAACGGTTTAGTTTTCATTGACTTGTAGCAATAACAAAATTTAAAATCTCGCTCTACATTTAGTGTGAACATTGCTTTTTTATACTTTTTTCAAAGTTTTGTATTAATGAAGTTTATGAAACAAACGTCGTTTAACTGTCAAATTATTTTCCCCTCCTCTCTCTTTTATATTCGATTAAATTTGTTCCAATCAAATTTCTTGGAATGGAAAGCCAATGATTTCAATCTCGCTCTACATAAAAATGAAGTGTCTTAATGTCTATTATTGATAGTTTTCCATTCATAAAACGTTGTCTAGAACTAAAATTAATAACATATTCTGAAGACCCACGACGAGTTCTACAAGTCTAGCTGAAAACCAATTGAAAAAAAAGCAATGTAATTTTTACAAAGTTGATTTTTCTTCGCCGGATGGCGCTAAAAAGCTGGGTATTTAACATTGTTACTATGATTTCACGGAAACTAAAGCAGCTGGAACCTTGATTTTTTTCAGAAGTGAATGGCCATCTTTATGCCAATAAATCAAAAAAAAATATTAAAATCGGTTGAGTAGAACTCGTCTTATGATTATTTTTCTTTTTCAAACTGCACGGTACAATGGGCGCGCTCTTCAGCCATACATATATATATGTACGTGATATATGTCCATTCATTATGTATATCTGTCTATATTCCTTTCTCTCTCTCTATATATATATATCAGTCATATTTTATTTTATTTTTCAACGCGCGCAACAGCACGTTTACCAAACTGTGTTTTGGATTATTAAATTTTCTGAGAGTAAAAATAATAAATAATCGTAGCAAAGCTGAATATTGTAAGAACTCTTTTATTATTAACTGATTAAAAAGTGATTAGGTAAGCGAGTGATTTAATAATTAATCACTGATTAATTATTTAAATATTTATAAAAAAAAAAATTTTTATATTTACAAAAACAAAAAAAAATAATTTTCGAAAAGAATAAAAATTTATTTACAAAAAAAAATAAAAACTTATTTACAAAAAATAAAAATTTATATATTTACAAAAAAATAAAAATTTATATATCTATAACAAATAAAATTATTTATTTATAACAAAATATAGATTACAATACATAGATTGAGAGAAAAAGAAAATAGAATTAATACAAGAAAAGAAAAAAAAGAACAAATTACACTTAATTGAAAACAACAGCAAGTATATTACATATATTGTAGCTTCTGTAATAAAATTAATTAACTCGAAACCGTCACTTTTTAAAGGTTTGTTTTTAAAATTGGCAGATAAACAACAAAAACGAAAAGAATATATGAAAACATATCGTGGAATAAATTGTAAAAAAATTAGAGCTCAAAACAGATTACATTACGCAGAAAATCGTGAAGCAATTTTGGAATAAAGACGCGAAAACTATTTAGAAAACCTGGATGAAATATTAGATGAAAGACGCAGAAATTATGCCGAAAATCGACAAGTTATTAATGATCGAGTCAATAACCGACGTTAAAGTATTTTAGAAAGAGATTTTAAGTCGACTATTTTTGGATCTCCAACTTTTGTTTATCCTAAGACCCATAATCTTGGTCCGTTGAATATTGAATGTCAGTATTGTGCAGCGGTTCATTTTAAAGATGAATTGAAAAGCACGTGCTGTCACGATGGCAAACTATCTCATCTCTCTGATCAGAATGAACCTGAAAGTTTTCGTATTGCATTAAAAAACCGTTTCACAGGAAATAGTGCAAAAGGTAAAAACTTCCACGAATTTATTCGACAATATAATAATGCGAACGCTTTTGCATCGATGGGCGCTAAGATTGAGAACATTCCGGGAAATGGTCCATATTGTTCTAAAATATCCGGTGAAGTATACCATCGTACTTCAGAAAATATCCAAATCGATACTACTTTACAGCCAAATTTCGTTCAAAAGCTTATTCATCAGCCACCTTATGCTGAATTATATGTTTACGATGCGGACACTTCTATTGAAATTTCGAGTGACAGATTCCACGAATTCCCAATACCTTTGGGATAATATGATTACCATAAATGCAGTTTTAAATGATGTATCTCCTTATGGCAGTTGCTACCGTAAACTTCGGGACATTTATGAACAAGATATCTTTGATTTTCACTAGGAATCTTCATGATGATCAAAGGGTCTATGATGCACTTCGAACTTCAGATGCTGCTGCTATTGTATATGTAGCTGACCGTTATGGTAATATGCCGGCTGAACTTGATTTTGCAGTTCAGCCAAGTAATTCAAATACTCTCAAAAGGATTAATATGCTCTCTAAGCATCTCGATCCTATAATTTTTCCACTTTTTTCCCAAATGATAGTTTTGGGTGGACCACAGATTTGTCGCATAACATGGATCATGCCATTAAAGCACGAAATAAAATAACGATATTTGAATTTTACTCAAACAAAATTGCAATTCGTCGAAATCATTTTAATTCTTTGTTTTATGGCGAAAAATTGTTTCAACAGTATTTAGTTTGTGCGTATGCCCGTTATGAAGCAAATCGAATGACGTATATCAGAAATAATCAATAGACTTTACGTGTGGAATTGTATAAAGATTTATTAGATCATGTTAATAGCATCGATCTAGATCATAAAGCCCGTGTTGGTAGTATATTTATTCTTCCTTTAACATTTGTAGGTGGTCCCTGTTTTATGTCCAAATTATATCAGGATAATATGGCGATGGTTCGGAAATTTAGCCGTCATGATTTATTTATTACTTTTACATGTAATCCTAAATGAGAAGAAATAAAATCTGAACTTGAACCTTTTCAAAATTCATCTGATAGATCAGATTTAGTAACTCGAGTATTTCGTTTAAAGTTAAAAGAATTTTTAGATGACATAGCTAAAAGAAAAATTTTCGAAGAAATTTTGGCATACGTATACGTTATAGAGCATAAAAAACGCGGTCTTCCCCATGCTCATTATTTATTTACACTCTTCAATGAAGATAAAATTAAAACAGCAGACGACGTTGATAGTATTATCTCTGCTGAATTACCGGATCGATATGTACAATCCGAGTTGTATAGCGTAATTTTAACGCAAAATATTCATGGACCATGTGATCGATTAAACCCTAAATCAATTTGTATGGTTGAAGGATCTTGCTCCAAAACTTTTCCTAAAGCCTTCTGCAAGGAAACTGATGTATCTACAGATGGTTATCCAATATATAGATGCCAAAATAATTCTAATCAAGCTCATTTTACACGTAATAATATTCAAGTAGATAATCGTTTTGTTGTACCATATAATTCATTTTTAAGTCTTAAATATAATGCTCATATTAATGTTGAACTCTGTTCAACCGTTAAAGCTACCAAATACATTAAAAACTATATTACAAAGGGTTACGACTGTGCTCAAATCGGCCTTCAAGTAAATTCAAACGACAACGTAGAAAAAGTTTTTGATTATGACGAAATCAAACAATATTTAAATTGTCGTTAAATTAGTTCTCAAGAAGCAGCGTACCATCTTCAAGATTTTCCTATTCACGGCCAATCTCATAATGTCGTCATGCTGTCTATTCATTTGAAAGATGGCCAACCCATCTTTTTCGAAGAAAATGAAGCTGAGACTGCTTTGCGACGAGAGTCAGCCGCATGCACGACTTTAACTGCCTATTTCGAATTAAATGTTTCAGATTCAAGTGCTCATCAATATTTATACCAAGATATTCCTAATCATTATGTATTTAAAAATAAAAAATGGGTTAAACGCTCAGAGATTTCTCATCACGGAGAAAAAACAATCAGTAGAATTATTTCTGTATTTCCCAGAGATGTAAAATTGTATCATCTTCGTTTGATTTTGCTCTCAGTAAAAGATCCGCACGCTACATCTTTTCAAAATCTTTAAAAAATTCAATGGAGAAACCTATTCGACATACAAAACAGCAGCGCGAGTTAGAGGTTTAATTAATGACTCCAACGAATGGCATAATTGTGTGTACGAAGCATCAAGTTATATGATGCATACATCTTTACGAATATTATTAGTTACAATTATTTGTCATTGTAATCCTGCAAATCCTTTGCAACTTTTCGAAGATTTCAAAGAAAATATGATTGAAGATTTTATTCAACAAGGAAACAGTGTAGAAAAAGTTCTAAAATTATGCGTTAATAATATACGAACGCAAATTCAACAGGATGGTTTCGATTTTAATCAATTTTTACCGTTACCTAATTTCGAAGATATTTTAGATCACGAAGATAATTTAATTAATTGTATTGTTAATAGTAATCATTTATCATGGAATGATCTTAATACTGATCAACTTTTAGCTGCGGATACTATTTTAAAATCGATAGTCGGTTTGAACTCGCAGAAATGTTTTTATTTAGACGGGCCCGGTGAAAGCGGAAAAACGTTTTTGTATCGTACCCTAATTCAGAAAGTTAATCTCATTGGTAAAAAAATTAATCGTTGCATGGACAGGAATAGTTGCTACTTTATTATCAGGTATAATTACATGCCATTCAGTCTTTAGTTTACCCTTAGACCTTTCTACTGTAAAATTTCCTAGACTTACTCAAGCCAAAAGAGGGTTTTTAAAATCGATAGATTTGCTTATTTGGGATGAAGCTCGCATGGCACCAGACACAGCTTTAGAAATAGTTGATTTAATATTTCAAGATGTGATGGGCGTTTAAATACCTTTCGGTGGAAAGATTGTTGTTTTAGGGGGTAACTTTCGGCAAGTTCTGCTAGTTATTAGAAAAGGATCTCGATGTGCCAAGGCGTCTAACATCAAGAATCTAACTTGACAATGGCAAAACCAATTTTTACGTGATCTGGTACTTAAGGGTTTCAGACCATGCTCTTTCTTTTACCTAGCGGACACTTTTCATGAAAATGCTCAGAAGTAGGTTTTCTAGAAAACCATGGTTTTTTGACACACTGGTCGAATAAAACACTGTTTTTAACAAAACCAAGAAATGATGAAGCACTTCTAATTATATTGCTGTACTCAGCAGAGACCGGGCTACATTTTGAAAAAAAATTAAGTCTTTAACTCCAAGTCTCAATTATTTAATTTAANAAACAAAATAAAATTATCGCCATTATTTTTCATCACTAAACATTAGAAAATCTTTTCTCTTTATTAAAATCAAATAAGTTCATGTTGAGTTGCCCAATTTTAATAAATTAGCATTTTGCCAGTACCTCATCTTATATTGACTTTTACATTGGTCTGTACAAAGCTTGATAAAAATCCATTTTTCGCGCTAACGGGTTACTTAGCTGGATTTTTACCCTCAATATCAATACTATTTGCATTCGTTCTGCCATCGAAAGATTATCAACAAGCTTTTGTTGCTTTTCTGAAAAAGATCATTCCCAGACGTATTCACAGCTCACTCGCTTGCCTTCGTCGTCATCATTGAATTATATTCATTTTACAAATTTCAGTATTAGTTTATTTGACTATGGCATACGTATATTTCATGAGCTTTATGTATGTACAACTGAGTATGCTTCAATCGCTTTTCATTATATTGTAAGAATGTGTGAATTATTTTTGTGTATGTTTCTTCTGAAATGTTGCTGTCGAACCAAAATTATCAGACGTAAATATATGTAAAATAGCTAGATGTCTAGTCCTTTGATCCCCTAAAATTCAAATTTACGTAGGAATAATTGTTCGGCTTAGTAAAATAATTGGATCGTATCTTGATTCATTTTATGTTTGAAATATGAAATTTTGTCATTAAATTCGTTATATCAAATGTAAAGCCATAATCATCAGGATTCATTAGGGTGTGGGTGAAAAAAAGATCCACAGTCACACCCGCCTTACATGAATTGACGCTGTAATTTATTTCAAGGTTCGCCATGAATCATAGTGAAAAACCAGTAGTTTTGAATTTATAAGGTTATACTGAGAAATATGATAAATCTGATTTCACCATTCGACCTGGAGCATTTGTTTGAGCGAATCGGAGACTACTTTTATCTACGAGACGAAAAGTTTTTTTTTTCACCTTCATCATAGATAGATTCAAGGCGATGATCAATTAATTTTTTCATTTTGACTATCAAGATAATTCAATGAAATTGATATTTTCAATTAAAAAATAAATCATTGATATTATTTTCATTCTTAAACATTTTTTTATATGTCACAATCTCAAGGTGTTACTGGATTTTCTACGAAAACTTTTGTTTGCTTTTTTGTAATGCCTTCATTATTATATGATATAATTAATGTACATTTTAGACACATATCAAGTGCGTATACTTGTTCAGGTTCTATTAAAACCTTGGGTATTAAGAATTTGAACCGTTGATTTGCTTCGTTCATCATCATGGGAATTTATAAATATAAAAGACTAGATTTTGAATCAGCATGCACAGCTAGATCATATTGTAATGAGTGTGAAGTGTTGGTGTGAGTCTTGTTTTCATTTACAATCATTCCCACACTCATACCCATAACGTATGAGACATTATCGTCTATTAGTAAGCGATAGTCGTAGTTTATGTAAAAATAGCAAGGACACACGCACAGACACGTGCTTCTCTTTGAAATAGAATTGAGAAGATTTTTTTTCTTTTCTACCATTCTTAATCAGACAGCAGCCGAGAACTGGCAAGAGGAAAAAGCAATTTTTTTTCTCTGTTCAGTTTATTTACATGACTGATTGCTTGAAACACACACAGCTATTGAAAGTGTCTAGAGACTTCGAACATCGCAATAGTAGAAGATGTTAAAAAGTGTATGTAACAACGAAAATCAACATTCTTTGACAACGACCATTATTCTTAGTGCATTCATTTTCCTCATTCTAACTGTCTCTTCTTTCTCCACTAAACTCAACCTTACTGATGAAGTAAATAAGATTTGTTTAAACAAATAAAAATACCTGATCGGCAATATTATATTTTGCCATTCTTCCCTCAAACTCAATTGGAAAAGATCATGAATTAAAAAAATGAACATTTTGACATCGAAACTCATTCCCCTTCAAAATCTATCTCCGTTAACGGAGTGTCGTTTTCGTTTTTTATTTCATATAATCAATTCTTTTGGTTTCAAAATAAACAGGTTTTAGCAAATCGAAGCGAGGTGAAATGTTCCTATTCTTTGGTCTTCTAGTTGAGGGATTCTGTCTTAGAAAGATTTTTATCGTGTCTAGGAGATTATGAATTCCAAGCTCAAATAATCAAAGAGTTTTAAATCAAACTAGGATCTATTCATATTCTAGATTTTTTAAATGACAATGTCATCATTACCAGTGCATCGCTACCGTCGTGGTTCAAATGATAAGAAATTTACCTCTGATACTTTCGGAAATGATTTTGAATTGTTTGATCCATGGACAGATAATAATTTAAGTACGCCAACTTCATTCCGTTGGATTAATCAACCAAAACGGAAAAAAGAACACGAAGATAAGATTGCACCAGCATTACTATCACCAACATATGGAGAGAAATTTCGTGTAAAACTGGACATCTCATGTTTTGATCCAGAGACTATAAAAACCACAATTGAAGGTCGTCTTTTAATTATAGAAGCGAAAAAGAAGCATCATCATAGTAATAGTGAGAATACCAAAGAACAAAAAATATATGATTTACCTGAAACTGTTTATGAACATGCTGGTGAGATATTGTAAAATTGCCCGAAATATCTAATTTATATTTTTAATTTAAATATTTAGATGCAGATCACTTGGTATCTTATGTAACACCCAACAATCTGCTGATTGTAGATATACCACTATGTAATCGTGAACATGAACAACGTTATCTTCAGTCATCATCAAAAGCAAGTCATAGTCATCATTTACTTCCATATGGTCAATATCGTGATCAATCATTCAATTATCATCATTTCCATACATCAGCTTTTGCACCAAAAGTTGTTGATGGAGGAGAACATAAAAGAAAATTGCAAATGTCTCTACCTATGAAAAATTATCGCCCTGAACACATTAAAGTGTCAGTCAAAAATAATGATCTCATTGTACAAGGTGAACACATATCAAAGGATAATCAATATTTAGAAAAAACTTATTTTTACAGATCGGTTATTCTTCCACCGGGCACACAAACTGATCATTTGCAATCTCATTTAACACAAGATGGACACTTACAAATAGAAGTGCCATTTATTGAATACATTCCAAAAAATTGAAGTGATTTATCAACAAGACAATTTTATATCATTTTGTTTTAGACACGTTTTATCTATAACAAATTTACATTTGCTCTATTGTCATTTGAACGTAAGAAATTCATATTTTCTTCAACGTAATGAGTGTAAATGAAATAATAAATTTAGAAACATATTTTTATTTATTTAAGGAGCTTTATTTGAGTGGGTTGATGATGTCGGTGTTCGTCGTGCACTTACACCTACATTCACACCCGTTGTTAGTAGTGCATAAGAATTTGGAAAACAGCTATAAATATTTTTTCTTACGATGAGAATAGATACATTTGTCGAGAATGATCCATTTTTAAAGACTTATCAAACAAAAACTTCAACAAAAATATTTGTTAAATTTGTCATATGACAAAGTTTTATTGGCTACAAAAAAAAACAGTCCATTCGATTAATCGTCGATACTCCACAGTGAAGTGAAAGGTGATGCAAGTTCCTATCAAGGACACATATGCTAACAAATCTATTCTACTCACTTCTATTTATTGATGCAACGATAAGACATAAGCTACTATTACCTTTGCTCAGAATCGTAACGTTTGAGTTTGATAAACGGCTGGGCGCGGATTTTGAGGTGCATTCTCTCTTCAGATGTACGTATACTTTTTTGAAATCATTAGCTGCCGATGGAGATAGTTTTCTGTATAGTTCAGATCGTTCCAATTCGGACAGTACGATTTCTGTTTGACAAACACTCCATTTTAAGAAAAAATGAATAGTTTACATAATTGTAAATCAATAATGGGCTTCGTTTAGAACTCAAGAAGTTGTTAATATGTGATTCATAAAATGGTAGAAGAAAAAGTATAGATCAAATTAAAGAAAAATGATTAATACAACAAAAGTAAATCAAAATGCACATATGCACAGTCATTTATTTCTTCTCATTTTTTAACACAAGTACTTGACCAGCATGACTAATATTGACACGTAGCGGCGTCGGAAGATAGAATGGTTCACCATCCATTTGTGCTATCATTGGATAACGAAGTTCGATACACAACCGGTTACATTGAGCGATTCGATTGCCACAAAAACCAGCATGAATTGCAGCCATATATGTAGTACTCAATCGGACAACTTCAATGTTTTGGTTGCCAAAATCTTGTGGTTGAGAACGACTACTTGAAGCTGTTTGTATTGTCGATAAACTCCCCGTTTGATCCGTATCACTATCGTCCGAACTTTCTAATTCGTTGTTTTCATGGGTATCAGGGTGTGGGTGGAGCGTGGGCGTGGGCGTGACTAAAGACTATATCCACACCCTTCTATTGATGTTGGTATTGCTGCTGCTGCATTTTGATTATTTGAATTTTTTGTCTTAGAATTTTGTTTATTTGATATAGTATACTAACATTTGGAAAATTACTTTTTGATTGTTGTTAATGAATTATTTCTTCATGTCTGACTTTTTTCCTTTGTTCACTTGATTTATTTAAATGTTCAATGTTGCGTTTTGGAGTTGATTATGATCTTTCTTCCAGATGACAGCAGTTTATACGTGTTGTTGTTGTTGATGTGGTTTCGTAACCAGAATTTGTAATTTTATCTGATTTGTTCATGTTTGTATTAAAGGCTTAATGATTCATTGGTGATATTGAAGGATCTTCATCTTGACGCTGCTTGTAAACTTTATTAGAATTTAGATGTTCTTGTTGAAATGGCATACATAATTTTCCATTGATTTCTATAATAACTGGATGTTGGACATCGTTCAATGTCTGTCTTGAAATTTCTTCACTGAGATTTGGATGTTGATTCTGCGTAACTGTCGAATTTCGATTGATATCTTCTTGTCTTTGATGCAATGCATCATTGATTCCTTTACGGTTCTTGTTAAACTCACGATATCTTTTTTGTTTAGAAGAGTTCATGCTGACGCTCTCTTGATTAGAAAAAGGTTGGGGCAACAAGGCCAAAAAACTGTTGCTTCAGTTTTTCGAAACTCGAGGCAACAAAATTTGAAATAAAAATGGACAAAAAAGACGTCTAATCACCAAGTTTGCAAAAGGAGGAATGTGAATCTGCAGTGTGCTGGTAATATGAGCTACTAGTCATTCGTCGGTGACCCTTCGGGGCGCCATTCACAGCTAGTCGCTCCATTTACTTCAGTGCACTTAAGCAATGTTGTTTATTGTCCATTTAACATAAAAGATATGTCTCATTTACATGTAGCTTTTTATACTACTTACTTCGAGTTATAACGGCTAGAAATTCCATGAGTTAGAACTCCTAAAAACATATACAAGGTTAAAAATATGGTTTTTTCATAATAATAATAGTGCACTACAATTTATTGTCGCATTCAAGTTTAAGGCCCTCTCCTATCTATGCATACATTCCCTCAGATCATACGCATAACCATATGAAAGAATGGGGGTGGATAGACTAACAAAGTTGGTCTTATTTGAAAATTATAAGAAAATTCAGTTAATCTGTTTCCCTTTTCTCCGTCATTTCAAAAACACTGGTGCCATTCTTTGTGCATAAATAGATTTTATTATGCCTTTAAAAGCTGCAAAGATACAGAGATTTGAAATGCTACGGTAAAACTTTTTAATAAAATCCCAATGGTATTTCTATATCAAATATATTTAGGATTTCAAGGTATGAATCATTTCGATCTCTTGGAAATTTGAAAGGTATTGTCGATGCATTCCAAATCTTGGCGTCTTTGCAATTTTTGAAGGCATCATAAGATCTATTTATGTACAACCGATGGTGACGGTGTCTTTTGAAATGCTGCATATCGAAGTTATTTATCCTGTCAAATCCTATATATTTCATAGAGAAATACCGTTGTGATTTTATTAAAAGTTACTGCCCAAGCATTTAAAATTCCCATGGCCTCTGTGTCTGTTCGAATAATAGAGCGAACGTGTACATATTAGTATGGTTTTCTTATAATTTTCGAATACGACCAATTTCGGTAGCATATTCACTCCTATCCTTTGCATTTTATTCATGAACAGCCAAAAACGCTCCGTGGTAACTACAAAAAGGTTCCTTAATTCCTAACTTTTTTTTATAAAATTGGAAAATGCCGCACTAGTCTCTATCACTTTCTTCTTTCTCATACGCTTATACACAATTTAAAGTCAACATATACTATATTAGCTGACAATACAGTTAAAAAATTACAGCTTCTAAACCAATAACAAACAAATCTGATTAACGCTGTTCTTTGTTATAACAAAAAACTGCTTCGACAAGAGCCACATAGTTAAAACACGTGATTGACTGAACATCTAGCAGAAAGCAGTCATCAACTTCAATTTTCATTTCAATCTTTTGTTGAAGATCTTTGACTGTATCATAAACATGAAACTCATTTTAATGATATCGTTCTATCTTCAGTCAAGGAAATCACTTCATATGAAAACCCAAGCGCAATGAAAAGAAACCTTCTATCTGATTGCTCAGCTCTCTAGCCTACCATAAACTCACATGTATAACCCGACTTCAGATTCGAAATCTTCATCCTCGGAAGTCTCTAGCGAAGTTTCATCAGAATGTCCAAAAAGCTAAAATAAAAGGCTCATTTCGGATTGGTCGGCTTTCTAGCCAATACGGATGCCGGACGTAAAATCCGGATGCGGGTGTAGACGACACTCACACCCACAAACGGGTTTTTTCGGAGATTGGGACTGTCCCGCGGGACTCTAATGTTGATATTTTAACCAATGCATTTTCTTCTGTTTCGTTTGTGTTCTGTTCTGCACGAGAAGATATACTTTTTTTTGTCTCTGTTTTTACGCACGCTTATCTCGAAGGGCAAAATGAAACAAGGAGAAAGAACACGAGTATGAGGCATCGTATATATTCATGAAGGACACGCCAAAGAATCTATAATGATATATGAATGAAAAAAAAAGGTACACGTTTAGTTACTTTAACAAATACGTTTGCTTTTTTCAGTTCTCTATGGAAGTAAATTATTGCACATTCATGTTGTAGTTTGAAAAAAGATCGTTAACAAACATAACGACCGAAAGAAAAGTAGATTTCAACAAAATATTCATTCTCAAGAGGCATACTATTCGAAAGCAAGCAGAATTTATGTGATAAAACTCCTGCAAATCTTCTTACATTACCTGTTGAGATTGGCTATCGTATTTTGGACAATCTCGATGAATTTACAATAATCTGTTTAGTTCGAAACCTTTGAATAAGATTAAATGCAATTACTGAAACGTATTATCGATATCAGGTAAAATTTTCCATTATCTTTTGGTTAGATTTGTATGGTTTAGTAAGTTTTCACTCAACTTTTTTTTTTATTAAGCAATTATTAGCCCTATGACCAAGTCGGTCCTAAACGGACAATAGAGCTTGATAACTATTTGTACTGGTAATAAATAAAAATGAAATAAGAAAGAGTAAAAAAATGGAATAAAGTAAACAGGAAAATAATAATAATAATAAAAACCGAAGAAAGAAAAGAAAAAAAAGAAGAAACCTTCCCTAGTTTTCTCCCTCTGCTATTCTTCTCTTCTCTTTCTTCTTTTGTCAACGTGAGCTATCCACAGTCACTACTTGAATCTACTACATAAAACTACAAATCTTAGTGCTTGCCCTAGTATATCTATGCGTGGCACAAATCTTTTTGATCTATGTAGACAGCGAATTCGCTTTTCTCCCCCTTGCCATTCTGATCTGTGCGAGTTCAATTCTGATTGTTCCAATAACAGAAATCCATCTTCAGACTTCGGTGGCGCCTTTGCATATTTTTTCAATAGGCATAGCAGGGATCATCCAATAATTTTTCATTATAAATAAACGAGAAGACGAAGTCATCTCAGTATTGGCAGCAATATACTCGTTTTAGCAACGTGCAATATATATTATTAAGATCTATGCGCTGAGATTCAGTAAACAAAGGGTGAATTTCAAATAACCACGTGAAGTGTGCTAATACAAGGTGGAAAAGAGAACTCGCCGTAGCCATGTAGAGGATGTACCATTGATTATGAACGAATTCACCAATGCTGTTCGCCGTTGCCGATCTTTTAAATGAGTCTTGCCGATAAGATTTCCCACACCTAGTTTCGTCGTTAGGCAATAGTCCAAGTATTTGAGTGAAAGAATCCACTTGACCGAGTGATCTCCACCACGAACATGTGGCATCATCTTTGGATAAAGAACGGCACGCGCCGAAAACATAACTTGTGTTTTCCAGTAATTGATTGTTTGTACTGCTAGTATCGAATAGAACTCCACTTGCTCAAAGAACGTTTTTAATCGACGTTCAAGATCTACACATTGCTCCATAAATCTAATTCCAATTTGTCCCGCCAGTACGGCTGCGAGATCGTCTGCGAAGAAAAAAGACATTGCTCCAGGGTTAAAGTCTGTCATATCGCTGTGATACGTGATGAATAATGTAGATGTTCAACTGGAACCTTGAGGGCCACCTCTATTAATTGTAATCCATCTTGATCTTTTACTGTGTATCTCTATGGTTGCTTGATGATCATTTAGCCACGCTTGAATCCAATTGACGTAGTCTTGCAGAATTCGCATTCTCTTAAGCTTCTCAAGATATCCTTCAAACCAAAATTGATCCAACGCAGATTTTAAGCCTACGAAGACCGTCACGATGGGCGAACTATTCGACATGTTAGACGAAATTTGCTCAATAAGTAGCAATACACGCGTTCGGAGTGTATGCTGTGCACGAAAGCCCGATTGATAATCAGGGAGAATACCTCGGTCTGTTAAGACTTTTAGAAAACGATTGAGGAATAGTCTTTCTTGTAGTTTCAAAAACGAGCCGAGTAATGAGATAGAGGATGATCCAAAAGTCTTCGTCTTTGTTAGAAAAATTGCTCGTTCTCCCGTATTGCAAATTCAAAATGCTCACAATCGGAGTGATAGTACCTTACATCTAGATGAATGTCCACCTAAATTTTCACATCTCTAGTGCTTAATATAAGGAAGATGTATACAATTATATGATACAAAAGATTTTTTTGCTATGTCCTAAAATAAAAACAGCGAGGGATTGCATAAAAAAGACCGGAAATAAACTTGTCAAAATGGAGAAATATGGAATTATAACGAATCGAATTATAGCTTAGGATTAATTAGATGTCTATAGTAAATTTATTTAAATATCTTTAACTTTGATTGGGCATACAATAACATAGGACCAGTGTTGATCATTCAATGTCGACAAATCATTTTCAACAACTTTCTTTTTTTATTGGTTTTCGACATTTAATTTTTAAAATTTATATTTAATTCCATTACTTTTATTCAATATCAATGTCCGAAAAATACAAAAACCTCAGGCAACAAATTTTAACTTTACATGATTTGCACGAAAAATGGCTGCCAAGTGAAATTGTTGATGAATTAATCCCTAGTGACTGTCCACCATCTCAAAAAAGATAGTGTTTTTCGTTATATAAAGTACACGATCAAAAGGGGCACAGTCGAAGCAAGAAGCAGATCAGGAAGACCAAGAACAACAGGAACACCAGAATTTATATCATTAGTGCATAATAATATGGAGAACAAACGAAAAAGATCTATTCGGGCAACAAATGAACTTTTAGAAAAAGAAAAATTAAATTCTTCATATGACAGTGTTTAAAGAGTACTGAAAGATGATATTGGATTGAGACCTTGAAAATTGACACGTTCACAAAAAATTACTTCGACACAACGACGTAAAACAGTAAATAGTGCAAGAAAACTATTAAAACGTTTAGAAACACCAACAGCAAGATCAAATTCAAAATGAAAGCGATTATTAAACGCAGGCTTTAGTGCTCGTATCAGTTTAGTACATAAACATAATAGTAAAAATATCGTTATTTGGTCTAAAAGTAAAAGAACAATTCCACTTGGCTTACAAGCTGTTGGAAAA